GGGACATCAATTTTATAAGGTCGGTTAAGGGTGGTGAGAGGACAGATCAGTACAAAATTATGACACAAAAAAAAATTAAATAAGCATTCTTTTCAATAAAAAACTATAAATTATAAACAGTACTGGGCTGACAGTTTGAAAGAATGTATGATACCATGATATCGAAGACTGAAGGGAAATAATATTTGAAAGAAAAATGACATTTATGAAGACACAAGCTTCTAGTCTAACCTTTGTAGCTTGAATGACTGAAGATGTAAAGCTCACAAGGGCATATATATTTGTGTATCATTCATCCTAACAGTTTCAGATTTTCATCTTCCTCTATTATGACTACATCCAAACACATAACGCACACTGAACAAGCACTAATCTCCATGAATGTAACAAAACCAAACATTATTCCCCTTCTCATATGAAATATGTGACCCACCTCCAACTCTTAATTTATCAGTGACGATGTAGACTTCTGACAACTCTTCTTGTGCCGCATCAAACAAAGTAAGGCATTATGTCTGATGAGCCTATTACATCTCCTAAGTTTAGCTCTGACTTGATGGCCATTTTGCCCTATAAGACAAACTGACATGATTAGAAGACATTTGTTATTTTAGCTGTGGTTCCCTATGAAGTACAGCCATATTGTAGTGTAAAGAAAATGTTAAATAACAATAATTTGAGGGAGCAGGGGACTTTGATGATACAAAAGCAGGTCCAATTATAAACAATGAAGAGACCCAAATAAAAATTCCAAGAAATTACCTTAATTCAACATCACAGCCTTACTGTCACAACTTAAAAGAGTGTGCCATGCAACACATTAAGTGGGACCTGATGTTTTTGTGCTAATACTGTTTATTTCACCATGCTTTCAACAATGGGGCTATACAGCATCCTTACTTGCATGGTACATATCAGAGTTTTAAATGTTTGAACATTGTGCTTAATACCATTTGTACTACCAACGGGTGTTTCTGACACACGCTGCCCATACAAATTTCACTTGTTACAACTTGTTTATTATCACCATCAAACCATATTTCGGTCTTTATGTTCTTTCCACCAACCTAATAATAACTGAAGTAAAAGCATATCCTTTTCACAAATGATAATAGTACTGTCACGTGTCCAGGATTCCATGACTAGTAATGGGTTCTGGAATGGATGATTGGTTTCTTGAGACCTTCTTTTACAGTCACCCTTAATTACAATCAGTCATAACATCTCAAAATCGATGACTGCCTAAGATATGCTCCATTCTTTACTGGACTGCGAGTGTCTTCTCTTCTATTGTGACTGACTTTGTTCTTATTTATGAATCGGGAACTTCTTCAACTTCTGCTGTCTGCTGGTTAACACTCAACTCATCTACAACTGAACTATTGAATTCTCTTACAAATGATGACTCATTTCTGGTTTATGAATGACGAATGAATTAGTTCTTGGTTCTCCTTTCTACAGTAATTGTCTTGAATTATGACTGACTTAATTATGTATTTTTCCTTTATAGCTTCGGGACTAACTGAATAGAGATCACCAGCTTAAACAGTTCCTCTGTTATTCTGTGTTTATCCATTGGAAAGGGAACCTGCGTTAATTTCACAGCAACAGTCTGGCTTTCATGAGTTTACAATTTTCAATTTTTGTATCCATGGAAACGTGTTCTGCAACCAGTTGGTTTACAAGAATTTCTAGGAGGCAACCCATTTCCTACAAACAGCCCACACGTCACAGTATTGTACCCACCTCTAGTTATATGGCCACCATGTTGTTACTGCCAATAAGCTGAACAGTACAGAAATGTTTCCTCCAATAACACTGCAGTCATAAGCATTTCACAAAACTGGTAAATTGGCATATTTAGTAATGATGTTTGTCGAATCACATACAGCTTTCTAATTTGGTACCAGAAGATAAATGTGAAAAATTTTCATTATGTTGAACCAACATACCTACCCATCATAAAGTTGAAGTTTATATAGTTTTCTGGCATTCTAATGGGTACCTTCACCTTTCCACCCTGCAAGTAAGTGAATTCGAGTTTTATTTAGGGTTACCCTGATACCCAACATTCAAATCTACCCAACTGACGATCATAATGTTAAGATAGAGAAATCTGTTCCCATGGAATTATAAAAACGTTTCATTTGAGCAATTTTAATGAACATAAAGTACAAATACACAGTTTGGAAAATACAGAGTGGGGCACAGAAACTTCCTTTCTTTGAAGGCGAATAAAATAAATATTATTGCTGATAGACAAATCAGCAGGGACCTATTTAATTTGATGCAATTCAATTGTTGGTAAGAATGAGATAACAATTCTTCATACTGCCACCCAGTTACCTCCACTCAAAAGTAGTTTTTCCAGTAAACAACATGGGTATTTTTATCTATAATATCACCCATAACACATTTCAACTTGTTTCTAACACCTTAGAAATAAGTCTTAAATGCACGCCACCAATAATCACTTGCATAATCCTCAGTCATGGCCTCTTTAATTCTTACCTCACAAGCACTACAATACATATTTAAGACATGTATAGAAAAACAGTATCACCATATCCTACAAATCAATTTTGCAGATACCCATGAACCAATGTGAAAAACAAACATTTTTAATAACATATGTTGCAAACATGGTAAAGTGGAGTTACTAACCTAAATAACTAGAACCTATAGTTGCATTATACACAATCACATTTTTACCCACAACTGAAATTTTAATACTTTCGTTACATCACATTTTTAAGAGAGAATGAATCCAAGAAGCTTATTTTTCCCTGATAAATGAGAATACAAGAAATTAAACATTTTTTCTTGGACTTTATTTTACATTGGGTCATTATTCTACATGCTTCAACAGATTATAACTTTGCTTGATACTAATGAAATTTATGCCATATGCTGTAACAATTATGTTCATGGTGCTTGGTCATAAAAATAACTAAAACTGGGAGAGCCATTAAAAAATATTGTAATGAAGAACCAATGATAAGCAACATGGACTGTGATGTCTTGGTTGCCCACTGTTCCCTCAGTGGTACATGCTGGGGCAGCCAAAACCATACTCTGGATACAAATATGAGCAATAATGGCATTCATCACAAATCCTGATGATGGAGTTTCCATAATGGATACTGACTCCATATTCACATGACTGACTGCCCAAGAAGATTTAACTGAATTTAAGAATAATTTCATCTTTACTGTCTGGGAGCAGATCTCAAATCTCCTGGTATTATGGGACTAGGTGCCAGATTTTAACTTGATTAGTACTGATAAATGCAACAGCCTGACCAGCTCGACTGCACAGGTGCCATTGAAAAGTGTAATGCATGGTCACTTTAAGGTCCATGATGTTCCACTCTGACTCTCTTCGTATCAGTAGAATATTTTAACAATGTTAGGTAATTGATAAGAATTACATTTTGTTATGATCCCTACCACTATAAACATATTAAAATATGCATTATACAAAATATCAACACAGCAACACTCAGGAAAATAATGCAAAGAACTTTCCAGTTGTAGTCTAGGTTATCCAGACAAGTCCACAAATTTTACATGAGTTCTGGAATGATTTAAAAATTGTGATGCACCACAGCTATGCATTAATGAGACAAGAAGCACCTCCAAACAGTGTGACGATGTATGAAAGTCATTCAACATACAGTGCACAGAATCACCTTGGAACTTGTGATGTTCTTGAGTGGTCCAACACCAGCAGGCGGATAAGATTCTGATGGTCACCGACCATAAATAATGATATGATCAGATTGGAGCTCTACATGGATAAAGGTCATTCAGTTGCTTTTTAATGTGTATGCTTACATTCATCAGTTATTTTTTTAGTTGTGTGCCATTTATGCATTAGGTACTGTTACAATGTTTTCATTTTGCACCAAAAACTTCACAACCCAGTGCTGTTCCAACATGGGAGACATGTAATCTGACACCGTCTTGGATTTAACATACTCTTGAGCATGCTTGGCATGATTCCTGCAGTCTTATCTCCTAATCTCCCACAAATATGCAGACCTGAACAACCCTTTTGTGTTCTATAGTTCACTAGACATAGTACTGCTCCTTACTGGTAGAAGAGAGACCACAAATTACTGTACAAACATCAATGATAATCACAATTTCAAAGAAACCAATCAAAAACATGAACTTAAAGAACTAAAATAAACATGGTACTGGTATTTATACCATATGAGATATAATGATTACACTACCACCATTAACATGGTCTTCTGGAATTAGGTACAAATATTACTGCACAATTTATTAAAACATATTCTACAAATCATCAACAGAACTGAATATAAACTGCTTACCATATAGGTCTGGCGATCAGATTAATATATACAAAGTATCTATTCTTATCTTAATATTATATATTTCATTTTCACTTTGTACTGCACTGAATGCTGTAATGCTGAACCTTCTATTGACACTGTAGTCTTACACCACTAAAAATATGTATTGTAAATAAGTACCAGATTCCTTGCATGGTGTAATACCATTTCCTTTGTTACTATAATATAAAGACTTTCATTATGACCATTAGAATTTACATAATGTGATAACTAAATTCACTCTCAATGATGTTACATTAGCAGTAACAAAGATAATCCATACATAGATAAATTAAAAGTAATATTGTCTGTACCAAGCTGGAATACTGACTGCTATTACATATCATGTGGTCAGAGCATTGCAATGAACTCAACTACATAAGAAAAAAATATTTAATAAACAATTTTAAGAATCTGCTTGAGCCCTAAATGTGTAAATAGGGCCACGCCATAGCTCCAGCGGTTAGTCGCTGGCTACCCACTGTGGCAGCCTGGGTTCGATCCCAGGTCTGGTCAAGTGGGATTTGTGGTGGACAATATGGTGCCAGGGCAGGTTTTCTCAAAGTACTTCAGTTTCCCTGCCAATCTTCATTCCACCAACTGCTCCACCATCACCCTCACCTATCATCTGGGGCTGGTACAATAGGCCAGAAGTGGCCACAGTACAAGGGACTTAGTTCCACCCCACTAGCATTAAAATAAATGTATAAATAACACAAAAACATTGCTTAACTTGTTACTATTGCTGTTAAACAGAGTTTAAAGTGTTCTCACAACCTTCAGTGACTGACACACTAGAAAAAGATACATCAGTGGCTAGTTTTAAATGAAAAGATCACGTGTCATTACATAATGCAGGAGAAAAGTGACAATCCATACACAATGCAGACCAAGGATCAAGAGATGTAGAAGTGTCTGCAGACTATAAACAGAAGAGAATTAAGAGTTTCTGAATGCACTGTGGAGAGGACTGACAATGTCTCCATAAAATGCATGCAGAAACTTTGGGAAATAATTAAAAGAACTTCAGACATTTTGTTATGTTCCAGGCACAATGAGACAATGTGAAACATTTACCTTAATGACTGCTGAACTTGTTTAGTATTTGAATTTAAAGCTTTGTCTCCTCCTTGTATGAGTTGTGGGTCAATGTTTTTGTTGCTCCACAATTTTATAACTATATCTAGTTCAGATAACGATGTGATACTGAGAAGTCAGAGTAAATTAATAATGAAGCACATTCACAGTTATTCAGTGTACTGATGGGATAAGGCCTGATGGATGTCATAGTAACTCCATGTTTTTATTTAAGGAAACAGGTTATGGAAACATCCAGCAGCTTGGACAACTGTTATGAACATTTCTGCACGCTCTCTGAGCAAAGCCTATATACAGGACAAAGACTGGTTTGTGATTGCTACACCAGAAGAGGTCTGCATTAAGACTGGCCATGCAATAAATCAGGGGCCTGTTGTGCTGGACAAATGCGAGAATGTCTCTTGAGGTGTTCCCGCAGTGTAAAGCGCTTGGTGCACACCTGGCACTCAAATGGCCTCTCCCCCGTGTGTGTCCGAGTATGTCGGTTCAGGCTCTCTCTCTGTGAAAACTGCTTGTTGCACACCTCACAGCGGTATGGTTTTTCACCAGTGTGAGTCCGCGAGTGCTTCAACAGCTTGTCATTACGAGAGAAATCTTTCCCACATACCTCACAAGTGTATGGTTTCTCTCCAGTATGCATGCGCACATGTTCCTGCAACTTGTCATTGCGAGAGAACTGCTCCCCACACACAGTGCAGTGATAGGGTTTCTCCCCTGTGTGTATGCGGCAATGTTTCTTCAGGTCCCAGTCAGAAGAGAACACCTTGCTGCACACCAGGCACTGGAAAGTCTTGTCGGTGTGAATTCGAAAGTGTGTCTTCAGTGTGCCATTGTCAGTGAACTGTTTGTTGCACACAGTGCAGTGGAAGGGTCGTTCCCCCGTGTGGATCCGGAAATGTCTCTTCAGGTGCGTGCTATCAATAAATCGCTTGCTGCACATTGCACAGTGAAAGGGCTTATCCCCTGTATGAGTCATAATATGGTTCTTTAATTTAGCCTTGGATGAGAACTGCTTACTGCACAGAACACAGATATTCTCTCCAGTCTGTGTTTGCTTGACTGCAGTTCCATTAGAAGTGGTGGACTGTTTCTCGTTGCTGCAAGGATAAAAAGAAATGCAGTAAGCTAAACTTTATGCACCTTACTGATCTGAATTATAACATATATAACATATTATATAATAACAAATCCCTGCATCCCTGCATATCTCCAGAGAGCCATAATGCAAGATGGGGATAAATATTCAACACAAAGCAACCTTAAATTACATGTAGTGAATCCCATATATACAATTAGGGCTCAGGAGACCAAGTCATGACAACATACAGTACAGGGAGTATTACACAAATAAACAATTTAATGTCACCACTGCTGATCAACTGAAGGACATACAATGAAAACAAAAGAGAGTTAAGTAGGTTACACTTTAATATAATTTGTGATACTTCAGTTTCCAAATCATGCCATTTGCAGTGCTCAAAATGGTGTCAAAAGCAGAAAAGACAAAGAGTGTGCTGTGGATTCATGAGGCTAAGTCTGTGATTATGGTGCAAAGATGATTTTGCATGGTATCTTGACAAAAACCACAATCAGAAACATAAATTTTAGAGTAATGTTACTCAAAATGCCATTCAGAATATTCTACACACCATATATGCATCATGAATACACAACACATTCTTTGCCTTTTCTGTTTAAGACAATATTCTGAGTACTGTACATGCAGTATTGCAGGCAACACTATTTGGAAACTCAAGTAGCACAAATTACAAATTTTAAAGTGAAACCTACTTAACTCTTTGTTTTCATATGAAGCTCATAGAACCCTTGGAGCCATAACATTTTTCATTACCCTCCCTCAAAAAAGAGAGTAAATAACCATACTTCTGAAATTAAAGCCTAAAAGTACTTGATCAAATACCAGCTTCTCAAGAAATGTCTATGGAATGAATTAATACTGTTTCTATTGTATGTCAATATCTTTCAGAATTTTATTTATGGCGCAACACCCTCTTCTAACAGACAGAACACTCCACAGTATCTAAAACATAGTAAAACTTATGGTGACAACACTAGTTACATTTAACAATATATGCAAAGAAATCTGAACATTAAACTGCATCAGAATATGAATTTCCATTGTTAGTGTGTTAAACTGGGTGAAGCAAGCAGTTTCAGTTTTAAAGTTTTTGCCATTCATGTCACTATCAGCAACTTCCTTCCACACACAAGCATGGTATTTGCATACAGGAGGCCAAAACAGTAGAAGACAAATACACATGTAAGAGTAGGCAGTTACTACTGATATTCAGAGAAGCCAATGAGGAAACAAATTCTATCGAAGAAAGCTGTAAATTTATTTCTATCAAGACAAGTATTTGGGCAAAATAAAGTTAATACAAAAACTCCAAAAGGTATGTGGTTTAATCAAATGTTCAAAAAGGTCCAAGTGATAACACAAATGTCACCAAATATCTAAAAATAAATAAAGTAAAAGTTTACAAAGTGAAATGCTAAAAACAGCACAAATCCATTATTTGTGCACTTCAACATGTGATACAGCAAATCACTCTTAATAAGAACTGTGTCCCACTTTCTTTGTCACTTTGTATGATCCCAATACTGACATCTACATGATGCTGAATTAATTTCAGAAGTCATGTATCACCAGACTGTATGATAGACAATTGAGACATGTGAGAAAGAGGAAACACCATAATACATCCATCTCAAGGGACCAAGTTAAAGAAGAAATACAGTAAAACTTGGTTATAGCAACATCGGTTTCTGCGACACCTTGTCTATTGCGTCAAATATTCAATGGTACGAACTAATTCCTCATAAAGCAACTGTTTTTATACCTTGCTTAGTACGACATGCACAAATGCATCAACCTCGTATGTAACGTCATTTTCATTCCTGAATTTCTCTGATATGGACATTGAACGTAATTTAGAAAGTGTGTATTGGGCAAGTAACAGGAAACAGATGAAGATAACTGATTACTGTACTCGTATCTAGGTACAGTAAGGCACAACAATTGATGTAATCTACTGTAATTTGGTGAGTAGGCCTACCTTTAATATACAGTATTAGTGCGGTGTGTATTATCAGTGAAAAGCGCTGTAATATGTCTTTGATATTACACATTTGGGCAATTCCACGTTAATGTTACGTTAGTCTGTACTTAACTACGTATTTCACTAAAAAATGCAACATTTTAACTCTGTTTTTGGTAGATTTTTACGTGACTAACATAAGGCTACTGTGGAAGTGCCCATTTCGGTTACAACGACACTCGTTTATAACGACACTATTTTTAGGTCCCTTTGATGACGTTATAACCAAGTTCTACTGTATATGACCTAACAAACAGCAACGAGAAATATGCTTCCTTTACAGTACAGAAACATGACAGTTACTTCGTACCTCAACATTTTGTATTTACATTACACAACACATTTGAACATTACAGAGACAAGTAAAAAATGCTGCATGGATACAGACCTGGATTAGACATACCTGCTACACTGCAATGCTACATGCAATTACCTCTGGTGGCAAAGGAAAAAACTGTCACTTGTGGCAGGAAATAAATGCTTCATAGCTACATATTTCATACCAGTCATAGGGCTCTTTCTAGTTCTATCTTGATATTAGGAAACTAAACAAGAAGTTCTGGGAAAAACTAATCACATACTTTCCTTTCACTATAATATGAGTATCTGATACAAGTAGAAAAAACTTTGGTATGTATTAATAATGAGATGTGCGGTAGTGTAGTTGGTGGAGGCACTACGCTACAAGCCAGAAGGTTGCAGGTTCAAGTCCTGATGAGGTGGATTTTTAAATTTACCTAATCCTTCCAGCTGCACTATGGCCATGGTGTTGACTCAACCTCTAACAGAAATGAGAGCCAGGAATCATCCTGGGAGTAAAGGGCAGCCGGCACATAAGGCTGACAACCTTAATGCCATCTATGAGCCAACTGTATAAAGAAAACGTGGGAGCCTCGACGTCTCACAACCTTATGGGCCCTCTCAGCCTGTTACAGGGATAGCTTTACCTTTACCTTTCATGTATTTGTAACTAAATCAATAAAACAATACAATATTGAAGGCTGCAGTGTTGGTATTACTGATGGGAGTGTGATATATGAAGTACACCACTGAGATCATCCTAGATGGCACAATATATGTACCAAGTTTCATGAAAACTGGTTAGGGAATTTAGGTAATACTGAGGTTATTATGTGAAAAATCTGACAGGCCCCAGTGTTGGTATTAAAAATGGGAAGGATTTATGACGCATGCCACTGAGATGACCCTAGATGGCATGGAACAAACATACCAAGTTTCATGGTGATCAGTTCAGGAATTCAAGTAATATTATGGATATTACCTCAACAATTTGAGAGGCTACAGTATTGGCATTATTGATGAACTACCTAATTTTATGGAGATGAGACCTCTTGAGAAGCTGTCAGTTGCCAGTTGTGCAGCTACTCAAGAACTTCCCAAAATTTTATGAAACCCGAAGGTTCATTTCAATATTCACAAAACCTCAACTGGTCCCTATCCTGAGCCAGATCAATCCAGTCCATACCACCCAATCCTATCTCTTTAAGATCCATTTTAATATTATCCATGCGTATCTTGGTCTTCCGTGGTGTCTTTCCTTCTGTCTTTCCCATAATATCCTATATCCAATCCTCTTCTCCCCATTAGTGCTACACATTCTGCCCAGCTCATCCTCCATGACTTCATCATTCTAATTGTAATTAACAAGAAGTAAGGCAGTTTTCTCCAATCTATTGTTACTTCATCTCTCTTCAGTCCATATATTCTCCTCAGCACCCTGTTCTCAAACACCCTCTATATTCCTCCCTTAATGTCAGAGACCAAGTTTCACGCCCATACAAAACCACATGCAAAATTATAGTTTCTTATATTCTAATTTTTATGTCTTTAGACAGCAGAAGACAAGATAAAAGGTTATAAAAGGTTCTAAACTGAACGGTACCAAGCATTACCCCAATTCAGTCTCATCTTAATTTCCTCTTGAATCAAATCTCGTTTTGTCACTGTCATTCCAAAATAACTGCACTGCGGCACACTTTCAATTGCAACTCCAAAAGGACTAGGATCAGTCATTAGCCTTTTACATATGAATGTTAGATATATCTAACAGCAAGTAACACCACGGTGGCTGAATGTTAGATTTATCTAACACCATCTTTCAGAGTGCTGACAGTTTGATCTTCGGTTTGAAATCAAAACAAACCCATGCAAGGTCACATCAGTGGTTCATTCATTAGCTCTGAACAATGAAATCGTTTAACACAGTACTGGTTGAACACTATTTACATTTAGATATGACTGTTTATGACCTGGTCAGCCAAACAGAACCCAGCTTTGTTTTGAGAAATGAGGAGTAAAGATTCATCTGCGCTTACAGATTAGTGCTTCTAGAGCTTTCAAGGATTGGTTTTCAGTAGCGAATTATCAGTTAGGAAATAAGTTTCGGATTGTCATATATTTCTTATTATCAGTTAGAAAGTCAGTGTCAGACTATCATATTGTCGCGTGTTGGGTGTATAACGCGACAAATAACTTCACGCCGTATTGAATATAGCGAATTTTATTTTCACATTCGCTCTTACAATCACACAGTTTACAGATCCACAATTAATGCCGTCAGCAGTATCACAAATGCTACACTGCAAATGCTGGTAACTCGTAAATGCTGCCTTGAGAACTAGCTCATAGGCTTGCTCGGAACTAACTCGGAGCTGATCGCTGATAACTCAGAACTGGTGTGAACAGTCTTCACTGCTCCATATCTAGCCTCGTTCCAGACAACTCAGAAAACAGCCACGTAATAGGCACCATTGTTGCCTGGCGCCATGTTGTTAGAAACGCTGTCTGGAGTTGTTTACTGCTGCCTAGCAACCGCGGTATCCCTTGGTGACGTCACCGCTGTTGACTCGCGTTGCATAGCTACCAGGATGCTGGGACGCGGCTAACTTCGGCTCCGCTTGGCGCGTCAGCTCCCGGGGGGGGGCGTCCAGCTAGCGCGACACGTCACAATATGTTTC